TTGCTATTCCGCTGTTTATCTCTGATCGGTGTGCAGTTGGACCCTGTCTCCTTCTCCCCTTTGTCTCATGCATGTATGGGCGTGTGTGAGTTCTTCTGAGTGAGAGTGGCAATTAAAGTGTCAGACAACCAAGTTCATAACAGTTGGTATCGGAGCGGAGCTTGGAATTGGAGCTTAGAGGGTTGAGTGCAACAGGGGCACCTTCTTCATCTGACACTAACTGGCGAGAAGATCCATGGTGGTTCTCCATCTCCAGTGACTATCCAGCAGGGAAGAAGGAATACAAGTGGTGTTTGCAGTATATCAGCGATTGATCAGGCACCCTGAGCCTGTCTGAGTGTCTGACAGGAAGTGGCGAGAATAGGGTTATTTCGCCATCCACCTTCCTGACCTCAGTTGATGACTGGGTCTAGGGTGGCGAAATTTACCCTAATCCAATGATTACTGGGTGGCGGCCTCATTCCCAGTGTAGCGCTGAGGAAGGATGGATCGCAGGATCACCTCCTGCTAAATTAACCCTACTCAGGGCTAAATTTAGCACCAGCGGTACATACCCTGCAGTGGGGAGATATCTTCAGGAGAGTTTTCTCTCGCCACTGGGGCAGATTCAGTGTATCTGAGAGTTGGGGGTGAAGTGCCTCATCATACTGGGCACGATCAACAAATTTCAGGAGATTATGTACGTGGGGAGCTCTGGAAGACTGTCTGCAAGTACTGGCGAGACCAGGGTTTGGCAGCCACAGCCAAAGCTTCATCATCTACTGAGGGTTACACTTCAAGTGTGTTCGTTCCGTATGAATCCCTGAATAGCGATTAGTATAGAATTAGTAAAGATAGGATTGATGGTTTGTCTGACAGTACTGTAACAATCGTGAAATTGTCGGACTGCAGGACAACCATATCCATCTTCTTCCTCCCTACCCTGACTCATATCTCTTCATCTACTAACCTGTTCTGACTCCAAATTGTCTGGGACTGCTTTACAGTATTGCGCTGCACCCTGTATGCTCATTCTGTGAATTATGTACTGAAAAGACAGTGATACTGTGGAATTGAGTTTTGCGCTGGGTTTATTGATAGTCTAGGCTACGTAGGGTCAGTCACAACTCAAAATCTGACCGTCAGAATTCAAGTCTGTCAGTCTGGGGTGAATCGCAATTCCATTTTTAGCAACCCTGCTAAAGCGCTAGTCCAGAAACACTGTATTTGGGTCATTACAGTGCACTCCTGAAATTCGCCATTGTTGGGGTAATTTTTGTTGATGTCAACACTGGCGAAATTTGAGTCTGGGGTTGTCAGGGAGTAATCTACTAAATCGCCACTACCTGTCGCTGTGTTTCAGTTAATTCTTGCCTAACCCTTTCAATACTACTAATGTACTCTGCTTTCTGATGGGCTCTGGAATACTAGTGACCCCTGGAATGTTGTGAAACTGCATGTTGTAACTTCAGTAAAGGTTCAGTGTCAGGTACAGGAAATCATTAGTGAATGGTTTTACTGGACACCCTGTCAGCCTGACTACTGACTCCAGTGGTCTCCTTCCAACCCTAACTGCTTGTGCCCACTAACCCACATTGCTTTGTGAACTGACAGTGCAGCGAAATTTGAGTGTCTGTGTGATCTGTAAATCGCTGCACCCCCTGCTGTTTCATTTTTGTTTTATTGTTGTTCTGTGAGGGAAAATGTCTGACGCAGCTGACACAGGTGCAGCGAAGGTGGAGGTCGTGATCAAGGCTGAAGGGGAACCCTCACCCACAACGCCTCCTCCCCCTCCCCTGACCCCTGCGCAGCGGCGCAAGAGAGAGATACAGGAGCAGCTGCGGCAGCAACAGGCGCTGCTCGCAAAAGCCGAGAGACAGGAGGCAACAGAATTGGAGGCTGCAACAAATGCATCTCGCAAGGAGCACCTGCTGCAGCAGGCCGGGAAAACTGTTGCTGATACGAGGGTGGCCCAGTGTACCAGAGACCTGGTTGAGCTGGTACTATTGCAAGAAAAGTTGACAGCCGGCCATTTCACAAACTGGGATGAGCGGATCCAGAGACTGGAGACTCGTGTGGCTGATCTGGGAACTCAGCAGACCAAGATTCTGGACTCCATCCAGAACTTGACTGYTCAGTTAACAGYRGCCAACATCATCAGTCCCCTGGTCCCTGTGGGACCCTCACCAAAGCCYAAACAGTCTTCCCCTCCTCCTTCTCCACCTCCTGGCTCCTCCCATCACTCTCAGAAGTCTTCTCCCTCAGTCACCTCCCAGGCCAAAGCTACACCTCCTCCCACCTTTGCTGCTATTGTTGCTGGGGACTCACGAGGTCCCAAGATTCCAGCCCCCAGCAAATTCAAGGGGGATGACCCCAAGATTGATGTGGGGGACTGGACAACTGGAACCCGGGCCTATCTGAAGGGGTTCCAGTGCCCGGAGCAGCAAAAGGTGGCCACTGTTGTGGGTCTGCTGGAAGGGCCAGCCCAGAAATGGGCTACCTCTACAGCAAGTGCCCAACAACAGACTTTGGAAGACAGGGCATTGGCACTGGGGGTTGACAAACTTCTGCAGGCCCTGGAAGATCGCTTTGCAGACAAAGAGAGGGCACGCAAGGCTGCTGACCGGATCGTACGCCTGGGCCAGCAGCGATATAGCGGCAGTCTGCAGGCGCTGTTCGCTGAGTTTGAACAGCTGCATCCACCCCTGGATTGGTTACGTCTGCAGATGACTTGTTGAATAACTTTTGCAGGGCTGTGCCTGAAAAGTTTTGTGTTGCATTGTACAGCGCCGGGCACAAAGACTGGCGCTCATTTGGACGCGCAGCACTGGACATGGAAGCCAAGCTTCATGTCCAGGCCCCCTCCAGTGACAGGAGGAGAGGCGCCTTCCCTCGCGGTGGTAGAAAGGGAAAGGCGGCCTTTGCACATGCGGGTTCTGGGACATCATCTGACGCAGGATCCCGGCCTGGTACACCGCCAGGTGGGACTGCAGCAGCTGCTGTTCCAAATGTTGCAGCAGTGGTCCAGTAGCTGCAGGCTGCGTTGGGGGCCTTCCAAAAGCCCGGATCTGCCTCCAGCACAGCCTCCAGCAGCAAGGGGAAGAGCCAGGGACGTCGCTCTTCAACCCCTGCCCGACGCCCTAATCTGCCACGTGACGTCCACTTCCCAGCAGACCCTCTAAACCCCAACACTCTCCCATGGCATGAGCTGAAGATCCAGGAGGGAGTGTGGAGGAAGAGGAAGGAGAGAGGTGTCTGCTTGAGGTGTGAGGGACAACACTTCTTGAAGGACTGTCCCTACATGCCAAGCCCAACTCAGTAAAAAAACTGAAGCTGAACTTGGAGACAGCAGTTCCCTCCAGTGCTGCAACTGCATCTGCAGCTGCAGCAGCTTCAATTGAGACTTCCTCCTTCCCATCCGGTGTGGGAGCTGCGCGGGCAGCATCCTTTACCTATGAGGATCCTGACCCGGATCAGGAACCGGACCAGTCTGAGTGTCAGGTTCTTGCTGCTTTTTTCTTTCATATGAAAGAACAAAAGTAGACTAAGTCTGATCTCATCCTGCTTCGGCCCCTGATCAACCATCGCAGGATCAAAGGGCTATTAGACTGTGGAGCCACGCGCAACTTCATGTCTCCCAGTGCAGTCCAAAAACTGCATCTGGGCATGAAAGTGGTGCAGCTGCAGCAACCGCTGCAGGTCCGCATAGGGGACTCCACTGTTCTGACTATCAGGGAGAAGGTCAGGGGAACCCCTGTTACCTTCGACAGTGCTGGGGAAGTCAGACATAGTCTGAACTTCTACATCTTCCCTGACCTACCCTTTGACCTTGTGTTGTCTATGCAGTGGCTGAGAGCAGTCAACCCAAGGATCGACTGGCAGATCCCCAAGGTTGAACTGCCAAACAGCAAGGGGGTATATCAGCCTTGTATGCTTGCAGCTGATTACCACCCTCAGACATCTTGCTTCTGCTTGAGAGCGAGAGAGTTCTATGCTCTCTCTCGCCAGTACGATCATGAGCGTCTGTTCATTGCTCTAGTCAAGCAGACAGACGCTCCCTCTACTCCCTGTCCTCCTGCGATACAGCAGGTTGTGGACCAGTATGCTGATCTGATGCAGGAGCCCTTTGGGTTACCCAACCGGCCAACCAAGCATCATATTGAGCTGCTGCCTGAGGTGGTCCCTCCCAAAGGCCGCATCTACAGGATGTCACCTGCTGAGCTTGAGGAGCTCAGGCGACAGCTTGAGACCCTGACCAGCAAGGGCTGGATCAGGCCCAACACTTCTGAATTCGGTGCTCCAGTCCTCTTTGTTCCAAAGGGGAGTGGTGAGTTCAGAATGTGCATAGACTACAGGGGTCTCAACAAGATCACTAGGAAGAGCACAGAGCCACTTCCTAGGATCGATGACCTACTGGATATGGTCCAGGGCTGCACCATTTTCAGCAAAGTCGACCTCAAATCTGGCTACCACCAGATTGAGATGGCAGAGGAGGACGTCCACAAGACGGCCCTCAAAACCAGGTATGGTACTTATGAGTACCTGGTGATGCCATTTGGACTTTGCAATACACCTGGCACATTCCAGACTGAGATGCACCGCATATTCAGGCTGTACCTGGATAAGTTTACGGTTGTCTACCTGGATGATATCCTGGTATTCAGCAAAACTACCAGGGAACATGCGGAGCACCTGGCTCTGGTTCTTCAGTCATTACGTGACAGCCAGTATAAGATTAACAGGGAGAAATCCTCTTTTGGAGTTCCCTCTGTTATCTATCTGGATCATGTGATCTCTGGAGATGGGTTGGCCCCTGAAGCAGCCAAAGTTGCTGCTATTCAGGATTGGCCACAGCCCCAGACAGTGAGAGATGTTCGGTCATTCTTGGGTCTGGCCTCTTACTACCGAAAGTTCGTCAGGAACTTTTTTGCAGTAGCTGCACCCCTGACTAACCTCACAAAGAAAGACACTCCCTTTCTTTGGTCTCTCCACTGTCAGATGGCCATTGCACGACTCAAACAGGCCTTGACTCGTGCACCTGTTCTGAAGTTGCCTGACCCCACTCTGCCATTTGTTCTCACCACTGACGCCAGTCAGTATGGCATTGGGGCAGTCCTTCAACAGGATGATGGTAATGGTCTGAGACCTGTAGAGTTTATGAGTAAGAAGATAAAAAATCAGAAGCTTCACGACTCTACCTACGAGAAAAAGCTCTATGCTCTTGTCAGTGCCCTGAAACATTGGAAGCACTTTCTCCTGGGCAGGCACTTCAAGATCTTTTCTGATCATTCCACCCTGCAGTGGTTGAAGTCCCAGGGAGAGTTGAATGATAAACTGGCACGCTACATTCAGTTCATTGATCTGTTTGACTTTGAACTGAAGCATAAGAAGGGATGTTACAACAAGGTAGCAGACGCCCTCTCTCGTAGGCCACCCTGAGTTCAGATCTGCTGTATACTTACAGCAGAGGAGAGGAGCGCTTGTGCATCCCTGAGGATCAGCAGCTGAGGACACTGCTGATGTCAGAGTGCCACGACGCGCGTGGACACTTTGGGTTCCTAAAGTCATATGCAGCCCTGTCGCAGCGCTTCTTCTGGAAGGAGATGCGGAGTGATATGCTGCGCTATGTGGACACCTGTGAGCTCTGCCAAAGGAACAAGGTTCAACGTAAACCTCCTTTGGGATTGCTCAAACCTTTGCCCATACCGGATGGTCTTGCCCAGTCTGTATCCATTGATTTTACAGACTTAGGCAAGACTATCCCTCGTGGCATGCGTCAGGTCATGGTCTGCGTGGACAGGTTTTCCAAATACACAGAGTTCATCCCCTTGCCAGAGGTAGCTAGGGTACCGACTGTGAGAGCAACCTTTTCTGAGAGGTGGGCCACACACCATGGACCGCCCACCTCTATTGTGAGTGATCGAGACCCCAGATTCTGCAGCGATGAGTGGCAGTACTACTGCAAGGACTATCTGCACTCACGCCTGGACATGACTTCTGGTCGTCATCCTGAAGCCAATGGATTGGCTGAAGTGATGAACCAGGTCCTGTTCCAGTTGCTACGTCCTGTGATCTCTCCTGATCAACAGGACTCGGATCTCCACTTAGCGAGGGCACAACTCATGTATAACATGTCTGTCCACTCCTCGACAGGGTTCAGTCCCTACCGGTTACATTGGGGACGTGAACCACGACAGCCTCTCGATGACATCATCGATAAGGCTAAGCCTGACCTTACCCCAGGCACTGCAGAGTTCGCCAGGCGCTATCGTCTGGATGTGGAAAGAGCCCGGGCGAACTTGTTCAAGGCCCAAAAGGCCATGATTGAACAAGCCAACCGCCACAGGCGGCCTTCCCCCATCCGCACTAGTGACTATGTCTGGGTGGCCAGTTCTGAGTTGTCGAGGGAGGAGGATAATTCTCCCAAGCTGTTGTCGTGCTACTTGGGTCCGTGGCAGGTCCTAGATACAGTGGGCGCTGATCCCTTCGGTCCGTCGTATGTCATCGATGTCCCGCTTCATCTACGCACCTATCCGGTCTTCCATGCATCCAAGCTGTTGCCTTTTACGCCAGCTGATGCATTCCCTGACCGGCCTCCTCAATGGGGCCCACCAATCCCTGGTAAGGGATATGATGTGGTGGCCATTGAGGATGAGTGGGGCACAGGCCCCGATCGGCAGTATCTTGTCAGGTTCGCTTTTCAGCCTCCTTCTGAGAACCGATGGTTCTACAGAAGAGACCTGATCAAGACAGCCAAGTCAGTTGTTTTGAGATACGAGGCGGCTCAAAAGGGTAATCTCCCTCGCCAATCTCCTTGTCTCCACCCTTAGCTCGGAGGTCCTCGCTCCCCGGGGGGGTAAGAATGTAATGACTTGCTGTTCACTGCCGTATCTGTCTGCGGGGTTGTACACTACGGTGTGGTTTTGCCTGCTGAGTTTGCGGCATGTTTGTTACTGTGTGATTGCTGTGTTTTTCTGTGGTCGCACTGAGGGCTGTCTGCTGTTCTAAAAATAGAATAGAATTAACAGCGGTAGCGTTTGAGTGTTTGCAGGCCCTAAGGGGCACTGCGCCCTAACTGCTGTAGGACTGCTATAGAGGCCGGGTAGGCCCTTAGGGCAACGGTACCGGTAGTAGTTTCGGTCCAGTAGGTTAGGCCGAAAACTATAGGTAGAGTAGGACCGAGAGTTAGGGAC